AATGCTAATTTAGTAAATATCCAGTATTATACCAATGCTGCAACCTTGACTCAATATGCAAGTAATACTTATGGTAATCTATACAAAGCCACTTACCAATGGTGGAGACACTGACAGACTCACTCGGTTCACTGAGTACTTTGTTGCTACGAGACATCAGCCTCAGATCATAACTGGAGTCCTGAGAGAACGACAGATCAAGTTATTAGATATAAACTAGTATGCTTGTGATAAAGGTTTTTTCATTATAAATCATAACATCAGTTAAATTTAACATATTTCTTTGGCAAAATAGCTTTTTATTTTTCTTTCTTTTTTCTTTTTTTTTAAAACACTGACTGATCCTTGTCCATAAGCTGAATAAGAAATAAACTACTCATTACCCTTAGAAGTCCTTGTACAAGTAGTTCACTCTGATTGGCACTGATGTTGCTGCTGAGAATGACCCACTGGGCCTGATCCCTGCGGGCCTGCAGCACATAGCCCGTCAGTGGAGAGGATGGATCCTCAGGAGGCCACCACTGCAGGAGAACGCCTTGCTCGGTGCGATTGGCTGACAGAAGTATGGGTGGATCCAGGATTGGGAGAGTGGTGACAGCTGTAGGTGTTTCTGTTGGCACAGCTGAGAAGAGGAACAAAATATAAGCTGATACAGCTAAACAGAATTAGAGAGAGAGTGAGGGAAACTCTAAACAGAACACAAATTTACTTGCACAAACCTTGTGTTCGCACAGAAACAATTTCACTGAAAGGTCCAGAGCCGAGTTTATTCTGAGGTAGGACACTGAACTGATACCAGGTGCCAGCAAGCAGCCCGGTCACCAGCAGGTAGTTTTTGGATGTCGGCACAGGCAAAGACGCCCATTCGTGTTTCCCTCTGGATGCCTGCTTGACCCTGGAAAAAAGAAATTCAAAACAACCAGAATAAAGACAGAGCATAAAGGACTGAACAGCTGGAATCTGTGTCATACTTTTTGTATTATATGTTACTGACCATACAGTGAACTTCTGGGTGTATCCACCATCAAAGCCTGGCACCCAGGACACGTTGGCCTGGTTCAGCTCCGTGGTGACAGATACTGATGACACAACATGAGGACTGGTGCCTGAGAACAGAAAAAACTATTCTGTAAGTTTGAATTGTCCACAATACATTCAAATGAAGTTGGTTTGTAGAAATAAGGTGGGCCCACTCACCCAGCACCATGACCACAGTGCCTGCACTGACAGTCGCTACACGGTTAGTGGCCAAGCACTCCCAGCCGCCATGGTGATCTTTACTGAGAGGCTGCAGCAGGAGGGAGCCGTTAGCCAACACAGTGTACAGGGAGCGAGGAGTAGGGCCAATCTGTGAGGAAAGACAGCAGCAAGATCAAACAAAGGACTAATAATAACAATTTTGTGTTTGTACAGCACCTCTGTATGTCAGACTTGAAAATCTCCTTTACCTTGCTCCATGTTATGTTTGGAGTGGGGTCCCCAATGGCTTCACAGGGGATGATCAACTCTCTTCCCACCTCCTGGAGATACTCAGGCCGAGGTGGCACTCGGAAAGATGGTGGGTCCTGGAGGAGGGAGGGGGCATTTTTATGTCTTTATAACTGTGCAAACTAATAGGAAAGGGTTTTTCTCTGTAGTCTAGACTCAAGAGTCGAATCAAGAACGCCAGCCTTACCTGCAAAATGACCTGGGTGGGTTCAGACTGGCCCATGGTGCCGTAACTGTTATAGGCCGTACATGTGTACATGCCCACAGCATTGTCATTGGCTGTTGTTATGAAAACTGAGCCCTCAGAGTTCACTATCCAACCTGGTAACTGGACAGGTCAAAGGAGGGAAAAATTAGGAACTGTAAAATACGAGGCATGTGTGCAGTTTGTGACAATTTCCTCTGTGTGACACATTGCTTTTCTACCTTGTCAAGATTCAAATCGTTCCCATCTTTGGTCCAGTTTACATACAGCACAGGGGGATCAGCCTGGACAGGGCAGACAATGACCCCCTCCATGCCCGCAGGCAAGTATGTTTCCCGGGACATTCGGCCCACGCGTGCAGGGTCTGAGGTAGAGGAAGAGGAATTAATCACAAAAAAAGAAACTAAAGATTTCCCTCAAGCGCCCTGACATCCTGACCAGTGTTAGGGTTAGAAACACCAATGCTGCCTCTCATAAGAGATTAAACCCTTACGTTTCACTTTCAGGTGTGCGGAGGCTGAGGGCGGGGTCAGTATCCCATTAGTTGGGATACAGGTGTAGTTGCCAGCATCTTCCGGGATGAGATTAGGGATAAGAAGTGTTCCATCCACCAAAACCTTCACTCTGGACTTTAAGGACCTAAAGCCAAAAGATACAAGACATGGGGAAAATTAAGAGGTGATTAAAGTGACAAGACAACTAACTTTACTGTATTGTAAATTGATTGATTGAGAGGGTTATTTATCAGGGCATGGAAAATATCGCAATAATCTGAACAGTAATCTCCTTTGTCTACGGTTTATAGCACGCTCATGACCACATGATATAATAGTCTTGTAAATAATCTAATTAGAACTGATTGTATTAGCGGCATGCTTTGGAAAAACACCTAATAGATCCATTGTGTGTATTTAAAGGCTTGCTTTAAATATTCTTCCCAGTATTCCACTGTAAATTCGGATATAGTCGGTGATTATGTCTGGGAATCAGGAAGTCATATTAACCTTATTTTATATTTGACAGAAAAAAAACCTATGTGCTATATTAAATATCTTTGGTTTGTGAAGACCTGTACTCACTCAATATGGTAAACATTCTGCCCTTGTTTCAACCACTCATAGGTGAGGTTAGAGGGGTACGCGTCAGCCTGACACTGCAGAACTGCATCCTGGGACATGTTGAGAGTGGTGTCCTCTGGGGAGATGATGATGAGTGGAGGTCCTGAACAGAAAAAAAACACAACACACTAATATTAATGCTGTGTTTATATAGTCATGCAGTCAGTCAGGACTTTAGAGGATTACAGAGATCAGTGTTGAATGTTGGCAAGCCTTGATTTAATGCAACAGCAGGGGGCGAACTGTAGGTGGCAGTATTGACTCTGTATTCATGATTGTTAAAGTGTTCACTGGGTTTGTAGTAGCACGGCAAGATCATAAAGCCTTTGAGTAGAACAGAAGACAATGTAATCTATTTAATAGAATAGACCTTTTATCCTAGACAAACAAAAGGTAGATCTTATTTTCAAAACACAAATTCTATGGCTTGTTCACCTGCACACCACACTATATTCTTATCATGAGATCAGCAGTGATTCAGTCTCTTCCTGATGATTGAACGTTCAACACTGACCTTTGACCTGCAGCTGCGTATAGTGGGTCAGGTTCCCCTCTGTGTTGGACACGTGACATTTGTACACTCCTGAAATATTTCTTGTGACAGAGGCCAGAGACAAGGTACCATTGAGCACCTAAAAGGAGGCGAAGGTAAAAGAGTAAGAGGATCAAAGAGAAAAGTTGGAGGAAGATCGTGAGGCTGTTGTGGAGATTACAACACGGCAGTTTTCTTCAAAGGAACATTAAAGCTACAACTCCTACAGAACATGCTAATTATAAAGTATTTAATAAAAATACTGCAAATGCCATCTGTTAATTTCAACTCACTTTTATTTTTTCATGTTTCTCAATTTGGCTCTCATCTTTATGCCAGACAACAGTTGGTCGAGGGTTGCCATGGGCTCCACAGCTGAGAGTCAGCGAGTCTCCAAGCAGAACCTCCACGAAAGTTGGTGGTGTCTTGATAAACACAGGTGGAGCTAGAGCAAAGACAGCACGGATGAAATGTTTAGTTTTATTTACCTATTCAAATGAGACATGGAAGACAATCAGAGCGCTAACTTTACTTGGAGAACTAAATGCAGAAGTCAGCAGTCAACCATAGAACCATAGAATCTTTAAGGTCGACAATTTCTCAATAAATGCTTAAAAAAGGGATAGTTAATCCTCAATAACAACCAAACTTGAGTAGTTTTGGTGTAATGTGTTTAGAGGTACCCCTGTAGCTCACCCCAGTACAGTAGAGCTCAGTGGAAACTGGTTTGATGCTCTCAGAATTTGGTTTATCTAGATGATCCTAAGACCTTGTGAGCGGTTTTATTTCTCCTGCGAGGAGATGGGCCGTTGCTGGGTATACTTGAAAGTAGCATTCTCATTTTAACTGTTTACAAGAATATTTATGGGTTTTCATGGGTAACTGTGTCAAAATATACAGAAAAAGACACTGTTAATGCTTCCAAATGTGGCAGCAGCTGTCTTTGATGTTTATGAAAATGCCTCAAGGACCACTAAGGCACTCCTCTGTACAGCCACATTATAAAACCTACTCCATATAAGATTTAAAATTGTGATTGGCTCGACCAAATCCAGGAGTGGTGGAAATCTGTGTGAGAGCGACGGTGGACAGGATGCATCTGCTAGTTCCCAGGCTAGGGATACCACCAAACCTCAAAAAATGCCTGAACTGAACTGACTTTTCTGTTTTGTAGTAACTGTTTTGTTTGTGTTATTGAGAGGAGAATAGGGACCTAACACTGCCACATTTGTGTTTTTCTTCCCCTTTAATCCCTCCAGATTTGGATACAATTTGTCATCATTGTCTCTGTGTACAAGGTTCTGTGTCAAGTTTGGTTGGGATTACTAAACATATTCTTAGGTAACATGTATTCATATGATATTCAATGCATGCACTGATGTAATACTATTATGTACAAGAATGGTGTCCAGGCTTTATTTGCAACCTGATGCACCACATGTAGGTCTTTCATTCAGTGTAGTATAATCATACCAAATCCCTATTTCACACTCTCAATGGAACTCTTAATTCCACTGTGGCATAACCAGTGTGGGAAGTAGGTGGGTTAAAAGACTCAGATTTAAGCATTTAACCTTAATTCTTTAGCCCACAAAAGCCATCCGTACACTTGTCTTGCTGCTGATATTTTTAAAATCAACTCCTATGGTGGCATCAGCTCACAGCAGGACAGGAATAGAGAAAGACAAGATGAGATCATTGTGTACACAGAACGTCACACAGAACGCCCTGATACGCAGCTATAACACTCAGGAAAATTCAGCAAGCCAGGACCTTCAGAGTTCCAGCCAAGATTCATGCTGTGGCTGTTCTAAACAAGGACAGTGCCAGCCAAAGGAGCTGCACCAGAGTCCCAAAAACCCTGCAGTGCTGCACCTGTGATGGAGAGGAAGGTCCATGTGCCGTTCTGAAAGTTGTCTTTTTTGCTGTCCAGGAGCAGGATGCGACACTCGAACCAGCCCTCATCCTCCAGGGTCAGCCGTTCCACCAGCAGAGAGGCACCTCGGGTCAGAGACACACGGCCTGTGGGAGGAGGGGTGAGGGTGGGAGGGCAAAGAGGAAGGGGTGAAAGCAAAGAGAGAGAGAGTTAACTAACACACACACACACACACAGCCAGACAGGCAGAGTCAGCACATGCAGGAAGAGGGCTTACCATCCAGAGGACACAGGCATCCAGTGTCACAAAGGGCCACAGTCAAAGTCATGGACTTTATGCTGGCAGACAAATCCACACATAGCAACTGTAGCTCCACATTACAACAACCACATAACTAAAGATTTATGAAAATAGGCAAGGTGGCAGACAGAACAGCAGCTCAGACGCTGAGAAGTCAGTGGCCCTAAGTTGCAGTGCAAACACATGAATCACTCAGTTGATGATTGTAATGCTATGCGAGATTACAGATACAGATGGTGTCCTGTCATTAAGGGTTTGGGTGGTGGTGGAGTGGAGAGCGAGGATGAGCATGCCCGGAATACTTGAAGGCAGCTTCATTAAATCACCAAAAGCGTATGAGTCTGTTTTTGTCTTTTCATTTTTTGTACTTTTAAAAGATTCCTACAACAGATGCACAATGAAATGAGTCACCTGTTTTTGTTTGTCACTTAGGGACACTCGGCAGAGACAAACAATGCCGAGCGTGGCAGATGCCTGCTCTGAACTTACGTGTGTGAACACCCTCAACGACACAGATGGATCCATGCGCGGGCACACACATACACAACTCCCTATCACACACACACACCCATACCCTGCTCCCTCTCCTCCTCCCTGTACTTCTTACAACTCCTTGTCAGGCTTTGAAACTTGATCTGCTGGTTGCCTGGTGACTGCAGCCTGGTTTTCAGGGTACTGAAGTTACCCTTCCCCACCCACCCCCCTTCCTTTTATTCTGTCTCTCAATGAACTCTTTTTTCCCCCTTCAATCTCAGGGCTTTAAACGACAGGAGGATGCATGCAGGGGGAAACACACACGTTGCTCATACCAGGCCCCAGGCCAAAGAAGTTTGAAAGTAAACGGAAATGTGGAGAAGTTTCCGGAATCACACCTACTTGTTTGCACCTAAAAAGTTTCTTAGATGATATAAGTAATGTCAATCACATGAACTACAGTAAACATACTCTATATAACAGAACCAGATTCTTGAATGTCCTGCAACCCTGAAGCAACAATTATCACATATCCTCACTATTCATGCAGGTTTCCCTCCAGACGGCAGTGTCGGGAAAAGCTATGAAATACATTAACTCTATACGTGGCCTTAAGACAGGGTGAAACGCACACAGAGAGTAAAGACAGACTACAATGGCTAACAATTAACCCTGCATTCCTGACTGGGGCTGTTGCTGTGCTTAATAGTTAGGTTTAATGTTTGACTGACCTCCTAAAAGACAGACCAGCGTTTGATGGGCGGTGCTCACTTAGAGGCACCATAAAATGAATGCCTCTCATTTCAGTCAGCATCTTTCAAACAACTGGGCAGGGCCAGGAGAGAGGAAATGTGCAGGCAGATGATAACAGGTATGTGGATAACTTTAGGCATTTTCCTTTTATCTCTCTATGAGGGATCCTCCCGGAGCTGCCCATTTCCTATGCAACCTTTTCCCAATCAGACATGGCATTAACTGAGGCTAAGAGGAAAAACGCTTTCACGTGCAAAATCACACAAACCCTCTTTAACATACACCTAATCCTCATGTGGCTGAATATAATGGAATACTTAAAGATCTCCGTGGCTTAAATAGCACCTCTTATTCTATAAGATGACTAAAACGCAGCCTATGACTGACCATGTGCACTGATCTCGTGGGTTCACAAAGCACGTGGGTGTGTATACATGTTGATTTTCAAAATTTGGTCAGTGCCCTGCCCCCTGAGTCTCCGCAGGGGAATTCTGGTTTCGCTGTCGAACACTTAACTCTTTCCCGTAGCCTCCCTCTTGTCTATCACTACAAAAAGACGGCAGCCCCCCCACTCCTCATTCTCTCAGGTTACCATAGTGATGGGAGCAAGAAAAGCCCGGGCTGTAGGTTTAGATTTGAATTCAGTTGCTGTAGAAACCTGGCGGGGCCAAAACATGGACAGGGGAGGGTTGATCACGCTGAGGGGTGGGTTTCTACTGTCAGAAATTTGAAAAATTACAAGTGGGAGAAAAACACATTTAGATTTTGAAAAAACAGCCTTGTGTCGCATCCAGCGGCACAAGAGGCAGAAAAGGAAGAGTGAGAGAAAATGAGGCCGAAAAAGAAAGGAGTGTTTTCTTTTCAGCCTGTGGACAGACAAAAGGCTGACGCTGTGTGACAAATGTTGCTTTATTTAAATTTGAATGTTGCATCTTTGGACTTGAACTGAAATCTCAAATGGCGCTCAGCAGGTGCGCTGCCCCGTGGGTGTTTTACTCTCTGATGGCGGCAGATACAATGCAAACATTCTGCAATCATTTAACACAAGAGATGAAAAATAACCATATCAGTAAAAAAAAAAAAACACCCTGTTTTTCAATCCAAGAGGGATTGAGCGAGAGGTTATGGAGAGGTTACTTGAATTGTGTGCATCGATAATCCACTGACAACCAATGAGAGGTTGACCTTTCTGACCTCTGTGCTCCGTAGCTCCCCAGCAGACACATTCATCACTCCCCCTGGTTCTACATTAGCACAATGTCCACAAGTCCTCCTCAAGAGACAAACATCATTAGCCTCTACGGAGGACAGGAAGAATAGCTGAAACAATAGCTGCTGCTCTTTCTCGTGTCCACCCTCCTCTTCCTCCTCCTCACTGTTTTTCCTCCAGCAGCTATCACATGACAGCTCCAGTCCACCTTAAAAAGAGCCCTTGTTTCCAACAGGTCGAGCAGCAGTGCAGCCAAGGGTAGAAAATGGAAACGCTAATCCACTGATGTTGTGTGAACCTCTAAGGCGCACCCTCCTCATACGAGTGAGAGTCAGGTTCTCGCCCAGTGGGTGGCGGGTTAGGAATAACTCAGATTTCAGAGCAGTGCCGCTGGCCAGGAGCTGGCCTTGTCTCATGGTTTCTGATCTCCTATTTTTTTTTTAAGACAAGATTGATGAGTCTCTCTCTGTAAGTGAAACCACTGAAGTGCAACCGAGCAGGAACAGTTTAAACCACAAACATTTTATCCGCCTAATTCCTCGGTTACATTTAAGATTTATAACTTTTCTTTCATACAGTGCTGTTACATTGTATGTTTACATAGTTTTCCGTCTACTACAGCTCTAGGATGAGGCTTTTATTGTTCCACAAGAATGGAATCAACATGTTATTTTTGCATTAGGGGTTCCCACTGGTACTCACTGACATAATAATACATGGGGTACAGTGAATTACATGCGATACAATAGCAGGGGGTAACTATGGAGGAAGACAGATTATTCTGTTTGCAGAAGCATCAGCGCTGCTTTTCTTTGTCCATCCGTATGTGCATAAGAGAGTCGGGCAGAGGTGCATTGTGGGATGTGTTTTGATTTGAATACAATCATAAGTCTGGGACCGGCCCCCTGCCTCTGACAGCTCACCCCTCCCACTCCCCCAAATTTCTCTCTTCAATCCTCCTGTCTCCCTAATCAGTTTAACCCTCTTATGAATAGCTCTTTGTCGTGAGATAGATTACAGTTAACTCTGTCCCTCTCGCTCTGTCCGGCTCCGTTAACCCCTGAACCAGAATGCACACACAGCTCACGTGCCAAAATTTCACTACAGCCGCCGGCCACTCAACTTACCACGGGCATTAGCCCTCGTGCATGATCGCGGAGCAAAGTATTTTAAAATATGGAATTCAGTCCGGCGAGATTACGAGAGGTGTTTGAACCGTTCCAGTACTGAACTTGAGCTTTGTTTTCTGGTCAGGAAAAGATAACGCCGATGTTAATAATTGCTAGTTGCCTAAAATTTGCTTTAGTTACTCAACTGGAGTGACCATCAGGAAAACGCTTAGTGCCTCAGGGAGTAATCCTCATCATGCTTGTTATACTGTTACTCTGTTCTGTACTGTTATTTTTAAGTAGTCTTGCAGCAGTAGATGTATGCATTGAGAGAAGAGACAACATTTCCACAGTAGAACAGGATTTGATATGATTGCTCAGCTCAGCACTGACTCTGATCTAATGCTCTTCATATGAATCTGAACACCTAAGGCATGAGGTAACAGAGCTTTTGTAAAGGCCTGCTGCTCTAAGCCGGCAAACATGAAATTCCCCAGTTGCAGCCGTGTATTCTTCTTCCATTGTGTCATTGTTTGCCACACATACTGGTCTAGTTATGGCAGAAAAACTGGTTGGTGATGGATAAAGGTGATCAGTTTCACCTTTCAGCTGGGCTATTTTTGCCATTGTCAAATAGACAAAGTTTTCCAAAGCTTACTTGTTCAACATTAAAGTCCACTTAAGTCTACAAGATGACAGGTTACAGAGTTCACAGTTTGTGTAGATTCAAGTGTGTGTGTACGTGACTTGTGCATGTGTGTGACAAATGCAGGCTTTAACCTATCCAGTGTTCAGAGGTCACACTGAGAGCGTGATGAAGGCCCGCTGAGATCTGGGGGTTTGCCCATTGTCGTTCTAACCTCAGGTCGGAGTCCCCTGCTCACAGTCTCTACTGATTTACTTCAGCGCACAGGAGACATTTGATCTCGCCCTGTAACAGTAAACCATCCTGACACTGCAAGACTTGAACATATTGTCTCAACAAATACAACTCAAACAGGCTACAATAGTGTGTCAGTCAGAGTTTATTCGGCTGTTTCCTCTTTGTTGTGAGTTGACTAATGTTCAGCCCCGCAGGGCATGCTGGGTGTGAAACAGAGAGGAAGAGGGACGAGGGGTACTAATACCTTCCCGATTCACATTAAGCAGACAAGACAAGCTCTCTGAGACCTAGACAGTCTGGTGTCCATAAGGGGCTCGACAAAAAGAGCGGCGCTTTGTAGCCGTGACACTCCTCAAATACAGAGTGCAATCTCAAATACACCTGATATCGTATCAAAACGTTTTGTTTTAATGGATGACTGAAATAGTCATCCAAGATATCGCTTGCTTTGATTCTTTCATCTCAGTTTCTAAAAATGGCCAATAGCATCAGTGAGCTTGAAACAAAACAGCAGACCAAGGACAGACAGCGTTTGGGAATGCTTTTTATGTTTTATTTTAGCCTACTTAAATGTGCATCATTTGCAATTCAATGAGTCCACCAAAGGAAGGACAAGCGCACTTAAATTTAGTAATACATATCGATCCATTATGCTGTAAATCCACCCTCAGCTCTGAGCAGTCCGTACAGGTCTCATCCCTGATCTCTTGTTCCAGATCTCAGACAAGCTAAGACACAGATCAGGAAGTGGTCGCTGACTGTCTTGTGGTTAAATCTGAAATCCCCCAACATTTTAATTTGAGAGTAGAATACATTAGACCCACAGCACTGACACGCTTCACATGCCGCCATCTGCTTCCAGTGGGAGGGGAGTTATCAGGATCTGAGGCAGACAGGGGTAAAGCCCACAGCAGACAAGTACACACAAGGGATAGATATGGCAAAATATTGGGACATCCCAAACAGTCTTCCACTCTGAGCTTCATCTCTGCAATGTTGTTTACTTC